CGCGAAATGGCTGTCTAATCCAAACCAATTCGAACTGGCTATACCAGTTTTTACCCATTTCGGGAGCACACTTTCTGAGCATTCTGGACAAGCTCATAAGCAAAAAGACCTTGATAGGACAATTTAATTAAGTGTTTCTAGTACTCGCTTATCCATTTTTAGCTGCATTCCATTCCCTGGGATGATCGCATTAAGATATGCTTTAATTGCTCATTTATAGATCCAAAAAGAAATGTTTGAAACATGTGCTAAGCGATTTTATTAGCTACCGCCGGCCATTAAAGTCGCCGACATCAAAAGTCTAAAAATAATCTTAGCCAAAAAAAAGAAAGAAAATGAAAAAAATGATCGAGGGAAAAGCGGCAGTCAAGCGGTTGCCAAACCGAAACAAAAGGTAATTAAGAATACAAATAAACAATGGCAAACATTGTGAATTGGCGAAATGCAGAAAATCGCTTTCCACGCGGCTTTTGGATTTCGGATTCGGATGCGAGTGCAATACATTTCATTTGGATTCTTTATATTGCTGAAATACTTGTGTGTCAAAATGAAATATTTGTGCAATGTGCAAGACAAACTTGATTTGCCATAAAATTATATTTCGCGCCCATTTGGTGAGGACCAGTAAAGTGGCCCAGCCCAAAGATTTGTGCAAATGCTCTTAGCCATTCGGATGAAATCAATTTTTGGCTTCTGGCATCGCGAGGCTGCGGCCTTTGCGTTATGGCCAAAAGGCCTGGGCAAATAAATCAATTTGCTATCGGTTGAAAAATGTTGCGCGATCATTTGACATTCTCAAGTCGGACAAGTGTGAAAGGAAATGCTTACAAATCTACGTTGAAGACAAATTTGCTGCACTCGCAAATTGATTGCAATAATTTTAAATTTTATAAGCAAAATTTCATCAAATCTTAAGATGCAATTTGCGTCAATAAATTGCGAGCGACGCAAGTAAAATTCATTCCAAGTACAAATATCTAACCAATATCAAGCTTAAAAAAATATTAAGGTTCTAAAAAATCAGAAGCTAAATGGTTTAATTAAAAACTAATTAGTCTGTATTCAAGAGTGATTTTAAAAATAAACTGAGAATTGATTTTATTCAATGCTTTTCCAATTAAAATGTATTTATCAACTACTTTTATGCCAAATTTATTTCATATTTTTTGTGCAATGAATGAATATTGATTTAAGCCAACATATAATTGCTTAATGCCGCAATACATTAAAATGCCCACTGAAAACTAAAGAAAAACAATGGAAAATAAATTGATTTTAAATGGATATGCAATAATAAAAATAAGTTAAATGGGGCAAGAGGAAAAGCATATGGCTTTATATAAATAAAATTAATGACATTTTTATAGAAAGCAATTGAGTTTGATATCAGAACATCTCGTAGCTTCAGCAGTATTTATCTCCATTAAATGTGAATGATCTGCGACGATTGTTAATTTCTTAATTGTAACAGCTTATAATTGTTTTCTACTACAATTTGAAAACACTTTCTCACATTAGTTTTGCAGCGAGACATTGTTTATTGTCTATAATTACGCTTAATTAAGACGAAACAGGTTTTATTCTTTGTTATTTATAAACACTATATATATCATGATTCTAGACTGTTTTCAAAATGTTCCCTTGAAAATTTTTAATAAATCCCCTTTATCTTTAATATGTTACAGTTTTCAATTTGCCTGTGTTTATTTTCGGTTTGCTTTACTCTCGTTTCCCATCATTACACATGTTTATTATAACTTTTGCTGCAGGTCTTCCCTCAATTACACATGAAAATTAGTTTCATTACATTTATAAGGTAAATTAGACATTAAATAATTTTTAGTTTTTCTTATTTTTGATACCTAGGTTCATCTCGCTTAAAGTTGGTATTTGAATATCTTTATTTTTCACAAAATATTAAACACAAGTGGTTATAAAATTGTACTGATTTCCTTAATGCATTTAATTTTATATGAAATCATATATATTAATATTAATGTTTGTGTATAGTTTAAAGATTACAGATTATTCTCTCTCTGTAGAGGGTTTGGAATTTGGCTGATATAGCTCTCGTTGTTGCTGTTGTTTGATTAGGCGTCTAGGTTGACACATAGGGGGCACACAAACACAGACAGACGGGCGGACATATAGACGGATCGGCCGACTGACACAAAGTCCCTCATAGATAGACACCCATACACACGCAGCGGGCACGAGAGACTGACAGACACATGTGTTGAAAATTTAACACAAATGTGCAAATTTAATTAAATTCAAACGAGAAATAAATATAAATAAGCTTCGTTCACATATGTATGTACCATATGTATGTACGGGTAATACTATATAGTGGCGGAGATCTTGTGAAAATAAGAAGCTGTGTGACCTAAGGAAAAACAACAAACATTGTTGCCGCTGCAACTGTGTTCGCAAATAAAAACGCAATTTTCACAAATTTTTTTAAACTTGACAAAGTCAAGTCACAGAGGAAATGTGAAAAAAAGGCGAGGCACACACACAAAAAAACAGGCGACAGCATATTTTCAGAACCCAACATTTATTATTTTCTTCAATACATATATGTGGATTTGATTTATTAAATAAAATTTTCTTAAGGAATTTTTGGTAAATTAAAAGAGGAATTTCACACATTTATATACTAAACAGCAGACAAAATGTATCAAAATATGCTGTAACTTGACCAAAATTCTGAATAGAATTTATATTATTTTTATACACTTATCCAAAAGAATAAAGATAAGGTCTAGACTGCTAAAACAACTCAAAATGATAAGAAATTTTCCAAACAATCTTATAAAACCCGTAGCAATGACTCACTGGCTGATCATATATTTGTATACAAATAATAAATCGTTAATAATTATTAGGAGCATTACTCATTCCTAGTTAGACACTTTTGATAAGTCGAACGTTTGAGACGTTTGATGTCAATCATTTTATAATTTAAAGGTCCTTGATAAAAAAAAAAACCCCGAAATATATGTGGCAAAAAAAGTGTTTAAAATACAATTTGTCTCATTGGACTTACTGGCGGCTTTAATAAAGTATTTTATCGGCGCTATCGCTATTTGATAATGGCCCTGCCCAAAAACCCCGAAAAAGGTCGCTTCTTCATTTCGTTATCGGAATAGCATATGCCAAGTGGCTTTGATTTGGTTTTTATTCTCACATATTTATATACGAAGCATGACACTTTTTTTTATAGAATCTTGACTTTGTTCTTTGCTATAAAGATAAAAAATAAGCTGGAAAAAATGAGGAACGCTGAGTGGGGGCGTTAATTTATTAATGCGGAGCCGTTAGCCAAAACGAAATCTGCTAGAACACTTTTATAACTTGATTTATTTAAAGACAACAGCATTTGGCAAACGATTCGGATGAGTTGGTGTTGTTAAGATTGTGGTTTAAATTTAAAAATAAATCGAAATTATGAAACATAAACAGAAGGACATTGGCTAAGGTCATTGTTGATACTGAAAGGCAATATAAGCTAATGAATTTTATTAGTTATAACATTTGAAAATGTCCACGATGAATACTAAATTTTCAAAATATTTACAAGGCTTAGCTGTTATTTTTTATAAACTGGGGTAAGTTCTAAGTTATTCTGCCAAAAATGTATTAAGAGATATGCAACTATAAATACTAATAATGCCAAAGTCAACTGACATACAGCCACTTAAGATAATAAATAAATAAACAGCAGCGTTCATAATTATAGTAAAAGTATATATTTTTTTATATTTTTATATATATTTTTTGCTTAATTCAAAGTAAAAAGATTTTAATAGACACTTTTAATGCGTACAAAAATGTAATGCTTTGTAATATGTTACAAATTTCCCTTTGAATCACTTGGGATTATTTTACTAAATCTGAATTTTTAATTAAACTCGAGTTCGTTAGGAAAACACCAAATATTGTTCTTAGCAAAATGCTTTTAAACGTTTAAAAATCTCCACCACAATCATTTGAACACAGCTGTATACGAAAATATGTACACAAACGAACTCATATATGTTTTGTATCACTTCTTTCATCAGACATTCACACATAGGCGATCATCAACTCGTTCGGCCGTTGAAATAAATTGCAAATAATAAAAAAAGAAACACTAACAAAAAACACGAAAAAGCAACAATAACAAGCAGAACTGACGCAGAATTTCGCTACCAGCTGCCAAGTTAAAAGCAGCATTAATTTTTTCTTTTAATTCGGGGACACTTGTTGTTGTTGTTTATTGTTATTGTTGTTAAGGTTGACTTTGTTGCCGCGGCTCTTGCTTTTAATTAATAAACAGCTAACCAAAATTCAAATGAAAATAAATATTTTATGGAAAACCGAAATCAGATGCGATTAGCACTATCAAAACGCTCGAAAGCGAGAAACGGCTGTGAATATATATTTCGATCTGTCGCTAACCATTCAGATTCAGATACGTTCGCTCGCCGTCTCGCATCGCATTTTTGTATTTGTATTTTTAGCTAATTTCAGTTGCTATTGAGCTTGGCAATTAGTTACACTTGATTATATGAAAGCAGATCGCAGGTAAACACTTTGCCGGTCCCCCAAGTTCGATGTTTATTTTGTCGATTTGTATTTTGCTCGAATTCCGCTTTGCTGTTGGATTGGTTTCATTTTTTAAACGAGGAAATCACTGTTTGTTTTTCATAACCTAACAATGAACTTAAATATCTAAATGATGCGAATTTAATGGTTTATGAATGCAATCGAAATAAAATAATTTGCACGGTTGAATCACAATTTATTGTTTTCTTTGAAAACTAGTTTTATCGGGTTTTTTTATTTATATCAGTTCGAAAAAAAAGTTTCCATTTGGAAGGTTTGGTTGTAAATATTTCCCTTAGAATGGAAACATTTTATCCAAACACTTTTTAATAGTATTGATATTAATTAAACGCTTAAAGTTTCCGTTTATATTAATCATTCGTTTGCTTCAGCTTAATTTTTTAAAATACCTTTTTTTTGATTGTTGACTCCTTTAAGCTGTTTATTTGCTAATCATTTGTATCAATAAATATATTTATTTATAATTTGTGCATATATATTAGGCGACATTTCCCAATGGCACATGTTGTTTTAAAAACTCACATTAACACTGACACTCACGCACACACACACCACACACACACAAACACTTGCTTTTTCCGCTGGCAAGGAAACGCGCGAAAAACGCGTCGGCCTGTTAACCGCTTGTAAACCGCTTTCGAAACGCCAGCGAACCGCACCCGTGCACGTTCTAATCAGAACTGAGACTGGGCAACCAAAAGTCCAACAGGCTGAACACACGCAACATGTTGCCGACCTTGTCAAATGAGCGGCAACCAATCATTTTCGAGAGAGCAACTCGAGCGGAGAAGAGAGCCAAACCGTTAGTCGCTGTTTTCATCTTCAAAATAAAATCACAATAACAATTCGAAACGCCGGCACTTTTCGATGACCAATAACTTGTGATTGACCAAAAGTCTTAAAAGAAATAATACTTTATTTTGTAATACTCCTACCTATGAATATAATAAACATGGGTATAATATTAATAAAAAATTTGAAGAATATGAGCCCTACCCAAACATTATTAATCATACGCCATGTGGTACAGTCTTAAACCTTTATTATTATTATCCATAAATTGTCATTTCATCTTTTGCGTGGATTTTCCCAATAAGGGAGTGGAGGAATCACAGCCAGACATATCAAACATTGATTATTAATTTACTAGCGATGACAATATATTTTTATACAAATTTTATAACCTACATATTTAATAGAACTGCGAGATTAAATACATAAAGACAATTATAGAAGGGGTATGTACTTACTATACTTAATATATTTTTTGTTACACATAGGAGTTCTATATAAAAGATAATACTTACAAGCAAAAAGTTCCACTACCTTTTCGATTGGGTTTCACTGATTGCAATTGTTCAAGGCTAACGAAAATCCATAATTAAAAGTTTAATACCCGTAATAGAAAATGTGCAATGAACTTTGCAGTTTTTTGTGCTCAAGTTAAATCCACACCATAGATTATTCCAAACTGGTTTATAACTTTTTTCAATCAAACCTTTTTTATGCAAGAGCATTTTTATGCATCATGGGCTTTTAGTTTCTATTTTTGGGATTTCACTTTGGTTGCCATTGTGTTAATCGGCCCAAAATATAAACTAGTCGATGAATCGATCATTATAAAATCTGACAGTAAGCAATAAGCAAACAATAAACGACAACTCAGGTTTTTAATTCATTCCTTGTAATCTTTTCAAGTACGTTCTTAAAAGTGCAATTCAATTTAAAACTTTGCCACTGTTATCAAGGAAATGTGTAATCTTTAAACTACATACTTATCACGGTTATTTAATTGAGGTTTTTTTTATTGAAGTTTTTTGTTAATAGAAACTTCAATTAAATTCTTGGTTTTTATGAAAAACGTTCGAAAGGAATGCAATTGATTTTCACAAAGGACTTTCCATTTAATTGCAAGATCCGGTTGACAGAACTTTGATTTGCAGCTTGTGCAATCGACACCAACAGCACTTCAACCTCAATTTCCTGAAATTAAATTACTTACTTGCAGCTCAGCTGGATCCCTGTTAATTTCAGCTTAGCAGGATATTGTCAACAGTCGTTGCCAACACCCTTGGATCCTGTTGTCCGAGTGTAGGAAAATGTTTGAACGGCTTTGTTGACGCACAAACACCTGCACAACGTAAGTACTTTGGTTGCACTGTGTTTGCTAACTTGTGCAATTTCCGTCTGACAACACGGGGCGTATACGTAATGAGTTTAGGCAGAGCATCGGCAACAGATGTCCACAAAGTTAGCCATTGTATGAGTAAAATGGAAAGTTATTTTACTTCTAATTACCTTAAATTTAAGCTTATTTTCAATAACTTATTAAAATGTGTAATCGATCGGAATTAATTTGAGGTAAAAGCAACCAATTCGAATCAGCAATGTTCTTAAAGATTAAATAAAATTATATAAACAAGAGTTTTCATTCCCTTACATCGTACTTACTTTATTAACATTAATTGCTGACTTTCTGCCGCAAATTCATTTGGAGTCCAATAAATTTTTAACGAACAAAACACGCAAAATACATGTGACACACACCTTTGGTTGTGCGGTGTACACCACATTGCCGGAGGACAAAAATTCGCAGGCAACATTTCCATGGTGCTCCTGGGGGATTTCGGATTTGCATAAATAATAATGGAAATTCAACTGGTGGGCACACAGAAATAAAGCAGCTTTAAGCCGAAGCCACCATTAAAAGGCAATTTGAAATGTGTAAAGCCGCCGAGTGAAGTACTCGAGGATCAAGGCAAATTAACTAATTGAAGGCTCAAATGGACTTTGCATATATTTGCGCCCCGATAAAGGTGTCTCGCCAGCCGATAGATTAAAGAGTGCCAAAAGTACACAGATAAAAATGTTCCAAGCTATTTAGACAAAAATATTTAATATTATAAAAATATAGGAACAAAATACTGATTACCCTTCTTTACTTTTAAGATTCAAACACTGTTTATTTTATACATTAAATTTTATTATTATTTATATTTAAGAAATTATTTTATAATAGTTTTTTTTAAGTGTTGGTGTGTCCCCAAGGTCAAGAGTGGGTTCCAGTGAGTTCGAGGGTAGGAGGAATGCATAATACATTACCAGATCGAAATCAAAACATGTTTACCTTCGCACGCCGCTCTGAAAAGTTAGTCCTGGCTCAATGATGGCCACTTCAGACAGGACAGCGAAAGGTGGCCAAAAGCCAAAAGGCTTCTTCCCCTTGGGAGTTTTCCTCGAATCGGAATAGGCTGGTATTTAGCAGACTTGGTGTTGAATATCTAATGAATATCATGATTTCAAATGAATATTTTCACAAAACAGAACGCACTTCGAATAGAATTTTAAAATATACTAAGACAAAGTTTTGCTTTTGAAATATATTGACTCATTAATGGTTTAAATTTACTCGTATTTACTCATATTTAAATTTGAAAATCATTATAAATTTCATATTTTTTATTTATTTAAATATTGAGAATTATATAGCTAAATATATTTGTGTGTTCTTTTTGTATTAACAAAAGTATTATTAATATAAGAATACCTTTAAAATAGAAACAAAAATTAAGCTCCATTATTATTCACTTTCTCTTACCGTAAATCATTTTCAGGTTTTAACTTTCTTCGACATTGGTGTGTGCCATGAAATTGAAACAGGTAAATGATAATTTAATGAACGGCTATTAAATGTCAGTCAATGCCATTTACCGGGGGTCATAGTCAATATAGCCTCTAAGGTTTTTTGCATTTTTAATGGGCTCCCTTGAGCTTTTCCTGTGCGGGAAAATCAATTTAAAGCCGACCGTGGTCAAAGATTATTTAAATTGCTCACATACTTGGTGTGGATATATGACTAAGAGGCAGTCAGTTGGCTAGGACGTAAAGCCTAATTACGCAGTGTTCTTTAATTAATGCGCTCGACTTAATTAGGGAACTGCAAAGTCAACAGAAACAACAGCAGAATTCGCAACAATAATAAAGCCCGGCTGCCTCGGGATCTCTGTCCTTTGGTAGACAATTAACTGGCGCTGGAAATTGTGCTTGTTTTTGTGTATTGTGGCAACAGCTTGTTGACATCCTCCTTTAAAGAGCCTGAAATGTGTTTTGTCCTTTCCTATTTGACACATTCAGCTGCAAGTTGGAGCAGAGTGGCCGAACAAGTTTGAAATTAGGGTTAAATTGCTTGAATAAATGGTGCAAATTTTGGGTACGCACCATAAATCAGAATTTAAACTGGCTGCATAATTTATTCACAAAGTTTTAAACAAACTTCTTTGTCTTTTAATTGTTATAATAGTAAGAACAACTTTAGTTTAAAAACTTAAGTTTAACTTACCTAAAAAAGCCTTATAAATTGTAAAAAAAATAATAGTTGTGAGTATACGGGCTCCACAATCCTGTAGAATAATCAAACTTTTCTTACACTCACATAACCTTCACACAAAAAATAGAGACGTATAAAATCAACACAAACCTGGATTGCTTATAGCAAAAATCAATGTCGAAATGTAAATGCGGGGCCCACCGCAAAACCGTTTGAATAAATATATTCACAAATCATGCAATTTCTTGCGAGCTTTGGATTGAATCTCCAGCAGAAAAAACCCCACGAAAAACAAATTCAATATAAACGCAAATTATTCTGACTGTCCGTGGGGGTCAGAGGCATAAAAAACAAAAAAAAAAAAAAAGCGAAGGGAAAACGAGAACTTTGAAAAAATATATGCCGATTGGAGGGGTTGCTGTTTGTTTTTTATGTCCTGCCGGACACGCACAAATCTGATGGCTAACTCCACCGTTTTCTGACGCATTCGACACTCCCCATTAAAGTTGCTTAACTTAAAGCCACTAAAGCACTGAAGTAATAAAAAAAGGAATAAAACATTTATGAGCTAAGGCAGCTAAAAGTGATGTAATAGAAAATATTACGTTCTAAAATAAGGAACTTGACTTTTATGGTTTGGGAAACAGTTATTATTTTTTTAAAGCTCCGTTTCTTTATTTCAATCAACACAATGCATGTTATCAATTTAGCCTTATTGTTTAAATTATGATCTCAGTTCATCATCATTTTAATAACTTAATGTTTTCCCTGTAATATAAATTAATTTTACGACCTAGACTAAAACTTAGGTTGCATGCCATATTTTGTCACTTATAATAACCACAAATGTATTAAAGAAAATTTAATAACGAAAACAATAAGCTGTCCCTGTTGGTTTCTATCTGTTTTCATCGACGTAAAATTCATCATACGCCACGTATGCGCCTCTGGCACCAAGGAGGATGAAACTTTCGCACGTTGCTCCGTGTTCTGACCCGCATACTAAATAAGAGACCAGCAGAAACCGAAAAAGTTGCTTCAATCTTTGTTAGATTTAATTATGTTTAAATAGGCTTAGCAGAAGTCGACACACAGCCAGAGCAAATCCAATAAATGTGGACATACACCGGCTCTAAAATGAAACTAATTAAATTTTGCACAAAGAAAATTTTATTTTGCCACATGACCTGGTTCAAATTTATTGTCATTTGTGGCATATTTTACGGACAAATGCTTTGTTTTTCGGCTTATTGCTGTTTGATTTAAAATCCTATGGGATATTTATTTAATAATGAAATTATTCAAATCCTTTGGGATATTTATTATATATTGGATTACTGCCATTGTGAGAGATAAATTTTTAAATGGTTTTACAGCTGACAGAGTGATGTTCGTGAACATCCAAAGCCCATTAGAGAAGCATGTCCAGTCATTCGCAGGGATTAAATATTCATTGTTGCAGAAAAGCTTTTGTGGCTTGACATTAACTGCACTTCACTTATTCATTTGGCAATGCAACAGATTGCAACAGGTCTAGTGGCAAAATTGGTCTGATAAAAACCTAGGTACAATAAAAAATCACTTTAAAATGTAAAAAAATATATTTATCTACAATAATTTCTCTATATCGTTCATTGTTTATTTTTGTACGGGTATGTAAAGTTTAAGCTGGTGGAAAATAAAATTATTATTCTTTTCAGCTTCACCTGCATGCGGACAAAATGGCCGCCATTCGCGTATCCGGACGCGTGTGCATGTGTGCGTATAGTATGTGTATGTGCATGAGTGCGTATGTGTGCACTTAGCCTGTTGCGTTTCCTGGTTTCCTTTTTGATTTCATTTCATTCCTACTTTATTATCCCCACACAGTAGCAGCTTTTGTTTTTCCCATTCATTCGATTTCCATCCACTTTTCCTGCAAATTTCACTGAACCTTATCGCCGGATGCAATGGACCATGAAGGAGGCAACGGACAATTGCCAGGATTGGGGGCAAGAAGGCCACGTGGGCACACAATGCGCTGTCGGCTTGAATAATACGGGTGGAGGTTAAAATTCGACATCCCGTCCGTCAATCAAAACATCCTCGACGGACAAAGATAGACGGGAATGTTGGATGCAAAAATATTGGCATTTAGAGAAGGTAAAGTCAGCAATAATCGAATGGTTTGCGGATACTCGTAAGCTGAATGAAATTTAAGTGCCGCCATCAATCACTTGATTGACATTCAAAAATTGTTATTACATTTCAAGCAAAATTTGGTCAAAAATAATTTCTAGAAAAAAGTTTAACACCTTTTGCAGACAACTTCCACCAAAAATGATATCAACAAATTTTTTTTATTTATAAATTTAAAAACACTCTTGAAAAATGTTCAAAAATTATTCGTTTGTTAATTGTTGGCATGTTTTTCAAGGAAGAACATTTGTAGGTTTCTTTGTTGCTCAATTGGTTTATCCAAAAACAAACAAACACATAAATAAGAAATGTTTTTTTGAAAGACAATATGAAAAATTACAGCTCCCCCAAACATTCGCGTGCCCCAGGTTATTCCTCCAAAATATAGCTGCTGTTGTTCTTCAATTACGCGATTTTCCCTTTGGCAGCTGGAGCCATTTCCGAGCAAGCACTTTACTTATTTATGCCGGTTTTCGCGATTCTTAAGACAAATGTGCGTTGGCATATTAAATGTGGTTATTATTTTCTGCATTAAAGGCGCAAATGTTGGGCAACAAGTTGAAGCAGTCAAGTGCAACAGGCCGGCCTCAAAAACTGGTAAACATGTTGACAGAGTCGAATGTAAACAGAGAAATCTGCTTTATGTTGCTCTCGCGATTTTCCATTTTCTTCTCTCAGCTCACACGGCGTATGAGTAATTCATGTTGTGCCTTTGCCGACCGCAAAGAATTTATGACGTTTACCCCACAGCCAAGTCAACTGATAAGCGATTATAAAGTGTGAAATGCGCAAATTATCTTTGGCTAAGGCTAAATCAGTGCAAAGACCGTAACTACTATTTATTTGATATGCTATTACTCCACAAAAATACTCGTATGTCCCACTGTTTTTTGAAATAAAGATAGGGAAGTAGAACTTTCATTTTAAAATATGTATATTTTATTCTTTATTGCTCTTCGGTTGCATTCAATCAGCATTCGCGTATATTGTACACAAAAAATACACAGAGATAGTATATAGTTAGAATAATGTAGATTTCAGTGTTTGCATGCTCCACAAATATCAAATGCATCATAAAGTATCAGCTTAAGTTACATTCAACAGATCGAGTTGCATAATTTTAGATGGAAATCATCTTTGGGTATTGTTTCCTTTAGTTCGGGGGATCTGAACTTACATTTAACATAAACCTTTTCGTTCATTACTTTTAAATATATATAGCGAAATGCAAACAACTTTCTTAAAGTTCATTACTCAATGTTAATCTGTTTGAAAATGTATGTTAAACATAGGCAATGGCATTTAGAACCAACCGACTGACTGACTGACTGACTGGCCTACTGACTTAAATTGGTTTTGACTTGACTGATCGACTTGGCGTCTCATTGAGGACTTAGGCGAGAAATGCTTTTCATCGGCACACATTCAATTAGCAATGGGTATCAAAAATACTTATCATGGCTTTACAATACACTTTAGTTACAAAAATATTTAAAATTTAATACCGTTAACAAAAATACTTGACGATCAATTACATTTTGGAAAATCTCGCTTACATTTTTGGAACAAAAATCAACTCATTTACAAGACATGTTTGGGAAAAACAAAAAGCGTATGTCGTGTTGTGTTTTGTGTGTGTGTGTGTGTGTGTGCTGTTTGATGTGCTTCTTAGGCCCAGTCCTTTTTAATCTCGAAGGTCCAGTCCCACTCCAGGTGTATATGCTTGTCGTCATCCGTGAAGACCGAACTGACCGAGTACGTGCCGCGGGAAAATGTGCCAGAGGGTGCCTCCTCAGCGGGCGTCAAATAAAATTGAATTTCCTTCTTGGGCGGATAGGAGCCAACCATATGCTTCATTTTGTCAACTAGAGAATGACAACAAATTATTCTGTTTAGTAAAGATTCACATTTGCGGCCATTCAGCACCATCTTACCAACAACTTAAAAAATTATACAATCCGAAATCAGGTTATTGCATTGGAAACAATAGGATATTAATGTAAGTTATTTAACACATAACTAAAGTTAATATTGCAAATGTTAAAAACAATACATAGACGGCACTGCAAAAGCCAAATAAAAGTGTTGTGCCATTAAACCAACTAGTTCCCATTTCTCTTTCTCAGCACAAAGTGCGTCTAGTTTGCTCGAAATTCAATCAAGAACTGAGGTGTAACTATCAATTGTGCTGCGGCCTCGGAACATTGAAGTCCCAAAAGTGCTGGAATCATGTGAGGTATACACAAACAGCATAGAATAGAGCTCAGGGTTACATTTAATTTGATTTTTCAAGAATTTTAAATGCTATCACCTAATTTGATAGTTAAATAAATCAGCTATACTATATATAACATATAACGATTAAAAAACTCCATGTTAATGCTTTACAAATCTGATAAGGAAAGCCCAACTAATAAGTTTAGAAAAAAAGAAATGGTTTTGAATTCTTGCTTTTAAACTAAAACAGCGGGCTGACTTTGTTTAAACAAAAACTGATTCTGCCACAAAACAATAAACAAATAATTAGGCAATAAAATTAATTGCCAGACTTACCATTAACACCCAAACGCGAAGTCTTTTGCACGTATTTAAGGCCATGGACAATTTCACGCTGCACAATAAAATCAATGCGCACCTTGTACTGAACACCTTCTTTGATCACAAAAAGCTGTAAAAATATATATCATTTATTGATGTAATAATGTAATCAAAGTTTTGCGATTATAGTTACCTGCTTTTTAAGCTGACTTAGGTCACCAGTAAGATCCAATTCCATATCGTCACGTCCCTCTACGACGAGGGCAAGTTTTTTTACAATAACTTTTCGCGGATCATTGGGATCTGAAAAGATAAGTTTTATCTTTAAGATAATGGGTCATACATTATACTTATTATTGCTCCCTTACCAACAATAATTTTCTCGGTCTGGGCGGCACCCAAAAGGGCTTCCTTGTAGCGCCGCAAGCTCTCGTCCTCCTGGTCGGCGGCCATTATCTCCTCGATGGTCTTTTCTGGAGGCGCCTGGTAGTTGGCATCATGAACATCCTCATCGTGGTGCTCGGGATGGTGCTTCGTCTCTGTTTCGGCCATGGCTTCTAACCTAAAACTGTCCAAGCGCAATTGTTTATTTATCAATCAATTACATTTAAATGAGTAGCGCTAGTCTTTTTTCCTGCTGGTGCTATTGTTAAATGGCTGCTGCAGACTTTGTTTAGTGTTTCTCAGTTGCTGTGCGAGAAGCATGTGGGTCATAGGCATATTTTTAGTAGTGTGAGTAACATGTTGACGATAATATTGTTTTATAGATATATGTATGTAAAAATATGCATCCATATAAATGTATGTACGCTCTTATGATTGTACAGTCTAACGACATAAACGGAAATGATCCTGATCAAGAGATTGGGAAAAACCGCTGACTCAGGTTCGAATTTGACCCCTAAAAGAATTTATGTCAGTTTTGAAAGATTATTTATTGTGCACATTTTTATAAAAAGAAAAGAAATATCTTTTTTTGGAGCTAATAGAAAGTGTATCATAAAGTTTAGTAAAACAACCATTGTACCATTAGCAATTTGTAAAGCTGATTACGTTATCATTTAATCAGCATCGAAAGGGTTTATTCATTTTTTCGGCAACACCAATGCTTCTGTTTCGAACAAATGTTAGCCTCTTCATATAACCGTTCAATAATATTGATTAAATTTCAATTATTAACGCATTGATGAACTGACGTGTGATTGGCAACGGAGCGGGGAAAAGGGGGCCGGCGACTTGCAGCTGGTTGGCTTGGAAAATAAAAAAAGGTCCAACCAAATACGGAGTGGCAGATAGATAAGGCAAGAGCGTACGATAGACAGAGAGGGAACGGATATCGGCGGCATTGAATAATATTGACCAGAACGGGCGACAAAAACCGAAAACCCTCCGCCCCGCCAACGCCTTTATTATTATCTTGCTTTGTTTCCCATTATCTAAATACACGTCGCTTGCTTTATGTCCATTTTCAACGAATGTTGGGCCAATAATAATTCTCTATTCTCCAGATTTGGCTTTATAAATCGGACAGCGCAAAAACCGAACATGAAATTAAAATGTTATTACTTGACATCAACTTGTTGTGAGATAATAAAAATGTATCTATACAAACAATTTTGCAAGCACATGTGTACACAGAAAAGAAATTATGAAGATCAGTTTAAAGTTAATTAGTTTTGTTTGATTTTTTTTATAGTATTGGTTAATAACAATTAAATATAATTAAATAAGTCATGAATTACACAACAAAATAAAATCGTAAGCATTTTTTTATGTTTAACTCCAAAGTTCAATAGTTTTTTGTGTATTGTTTTGATACCTTTATATCAGGTTTATTTTTATAGCACTAAATACTTTTTTTTTTGCATGTGTGGGAATACAAAAAAATAATAAACATTTTTCGAACTAAGATCGAAAGTTTGGGCCAACAAATACAATCGGAATAATTAACGTTGGGTGAGAAAAGGTAATTTCAAGAACAATATCTGACCAAACAGAATTTTCAAATTCCAAACAAAACTGCGAGAAGAGAGAGATAGATGATGATGGGCGGGGGCGGGGAACGTGAGAGAGAGACGGACACGACCCCCCGCCAGACTGTGGGGATAATTCAAGGAAAAGTACGAACCATGCCAGTTTTTTTTTTTCGTTTTTTTGATAAAGAAATGTGGACGAAGAATGTTAAGACCCAGACGTATGAATCACACACACCAATTCACACACACACGCACACTAACGCCGGCACATGCATCGTCACTGATTTTGAAGTACAATTTTTTGGGAGTGGTTCCTGGCCAACAGATAAGCAAATGTTTGCGAACAATGCTAACCGATTTTATATTACTATAGTTAAATTCGATACTATTATAAAAAACATGCATTGGCACGCAACGCATCACACACACACATTTCTGCAAACAGCGACGCGCACTCACCTTTCTAATAAGCAAAATTATTCAAAAACTATGGTGTTTTCAAAACTTTTTTCTTGACGGTAACGTGCCCAGCTAGCTTATCTATTTTTTTGAATTTTTCAACTTATTTCTTACTTAGTTTTAAACAAAGCAAAATATAACGAAAAACACTCGGCGAAAGAGCTGGAACAGAAATCGATGTTAGCCTAAAAAGTATCGATAGTAGGTGAACTTAGAATTATGAGTGTGAACTTAGGCTATTTCGCCGATAACTCCAAAATGATAAAAAAAATAAATTAATACTCTTTCAAAAAATAATGTTTTTAGTCCTTTAAAACTTGAAATCATTAAACCATTTAATGAAATGTATATAAACGTATAAAACATATTTATTTAACATTTGATGGCCTATTTAAAAACAACTATCAGTTGAATGGCACTGCTCGTGTAAATCTGGCAACGCCACCCTTACAAACCAGCTGTTTATTACTTCATCGGCGAGTTTTGTGGGGATATTTCGGAAAATGGCATCCCAATACCTGAGCCAATTAAATACGGCGGACAAACTGGCCGCCGAGCCTTGGCCGGAAGACACCACACTCTACCAGGTAAGTTGGCACTATAAAGCTTAATTCTTTTAGTTATCATTTTCCACTTCCATGTCTTCTCGAACCAAAAGCCATATGAGGCAGAGCAGATCCTTTTGCCGGAGAATGCCAGTTGCCTGGCGGTAAAAGCTTACTTAAAGATGTGCAACCTACCTTTTGGAGTCCGATCCTGCGCGAATGCGGAGCACATGTCCCCGGGCGGCCGGATGACCAAGCTGCCCTTCATCCGCGCGGGAGCATTTATCTTTGCGGAGTTCGAACCGATTGTGAACTTTGTGGAGCAGAAGGACATGGCCATTGGCAGCTGGCAAGACGAGGACGAAAAGGCCGACATGCGCACCTACGTTTCCTTGGTTGAAAACATCTTTACCATGGCGGAGCTGTATATCAGCTTTAAGAACGAGCGTGTCTACAAGGAGGTAACTGCTCCCCGGAACGGAGTTGTCTTTCCTTGGCCCCTCAATCACATGCAAAACTATGGCAAGCGGAGGAACGCTCTTCGTTTGCTGAAGGTCTACCAGTGGGATGATCTGAACATTGACAACGTCATCGAGAAGGTGGCCAAGTGCTGTGAGACACTCGAATATAAACTGAAGGAATCCCCCGAAACTCCTTTCTTCTACGGCGATCAGCCCTGCGAACTGGATGCAATCGCCTTTGGACACCTCTTCAGCATACTCACCACAAATCTGCCCAACATGGCGCTGGCGCAGACAGTGCAGAAGTTTAAGCATCTGGTTGAGTTCTGTCGTTTCGTCGATGAGAAGTACTTTCAGACCAGGTGCCTGCCAAATTAGCTATCGCACTAAATTGCTCGCATAAATGTCAAGTTATATATGTAAATATTATTTTCTTTTCATGTTGCTGTACAAGTACTTTATTGAGCGATTTGTATGCTTTGAAATATGTTCTGCACATCCCTTTTTATTAGATGTGTCTATCCGATTTAATTTCAAATTTGAAAGTTATATAGATTTATGAAAAAATTTTGCTAAAAGCTATACAAATTTAAGTTATATATTCTTTTTGTTTTATGTGCTGCACAAGCGCGTTAATCTGCAACATTGCTTCTGTTCAAGCTTCAGAAAGACTATTTAAAACGCCTTAAATTAAACTGCAGCTACCCGCATTTGATGACCGTTATAAGAAAGTTTTGTCTAAGGTGTCCATTATTGTTTTATAAACTGTCAGTGGGCCTTAGATTAAATGTTAAAAACGGTGCTTAATGTTATTCAGCCAAAACTAATAATAAAAATTTACACCCTTTATTTTCAGCAAATAATTTCAAGTCTTAAATTTACCTGTTATTGCGAGTGTGTAAATAAACGGTTAATATTTGAATACAAAAAAAAAAAAGAAACTCAAAACTGCATTTTTGGAACCTGTAACTTTATTTGTAGTTGTTTTGAAATTTCAGCGAATTCCAGCAATGTCGATTCGATTTATTTTGAAGGTCTGTCTATCGATTTAATTGTTGACAAACGCAAATAACAGCTGTTCTATGATAAAATGCCGCCGAAAAGGGGAGGTAACAACTTGTAAAAAATTAAATTATTAATGCTCATTGTAATTAAAAAATATATATTTAATAAGTACATATAAAAATATTTCAGTTGCTATGAGGAAAAAGTACTTTCGGTGGACCCAGAAGGCCACAAAACGCCTGTTGAAAATGTGGCTGGAGAATCTGTCTGACTTTAGGGGGTACCGCAAAAATATATCTATTATTAAGGAAATGGCAAACAACATGAAGGAATTTGAAATTTCTACCGTTGAAATAAAGGCAAAAATGGACAACATGAAGAGAAAATACCGGTATTTACAAATAACATAATATTTAAGTATATGTATATTAACGTCTTTGGTTTTCTTTTAGAACGGAGTCCCTGCGAATTATTTCATCACGAATTAAAAAGTCCAAATGGCTATATTTTCCCAAAATGCAACATATTATGGAAAATAGTGATGATGATATCTTCGAAAGTGACTCAGATTCTTCGAAAGAATTTGAATTTCCATTCACCGACATTAAAAGAAATGGCATTGAACGTTATAAAAGAAATCATGGCCAAGCAGAGGATTGTGATGAAAGCGATGAAGAAATCCGGCCTACTCAGTTATATTTAGGTAAAGAAAAAACACTATCATTGTAGTCTCCAAAACAAATCAAAACTTTTTATTTTTAAGGAGGATCTAATTTCAAGGAGGCAAACAACCGAAAACAGACTTCCGTTCGTTTAAAAAAAAGTGGAGCAGATAATGGGGATTTCCGACTCAACCACAACAGTTTCAGAAATGAAATGAATATGGCTTTAAGCTCTGATTTTGACATCGAGAAGAGCAGTGATTCTTTTGACGATGAGGGAGTCACAAGCTTTTTCACACCGTCCACTAAAAGGAACTATAAATATGTACGAAGAATTAATTCATTAATTTAAATGATATATAACCCCTTTAACAATTTCAGAAACAAGAGGTTAACTACAGCAAAGGTAAATCCAAGAACAGCCAATATTCAGCTCTGGCATTTTATTTTTGTACTTTACAAATAATTATATCTCTATATTGTTTACAGAGAATAGTTTCGTTGAAGAAAAGTCAACTGATGAAAGAAGTTCGGGGAATGAATCCGATTCTTCCGATGATTTAATTTTCTCCAAATGGAACATTAAGCACTATGAACTCGATCAAGCCGAAGCTGTGGAAGAAAAAACTTTGGCCGTTCAACGAAAAACCCTTAAAGCCATGCAAGCAATGGCCGAAGATCTTTCCAGTTTTCATGAAAATTTCCTTAAGGCGATCAAACCAACATTCCAAAAACACGCTTAATAGCCAATTAAGGATCGTTAGTTAATATCATTTGTGATATGTTTATAACTACTTTCATGAGTTAATGGAAATTAAATAAATGTACAAATTTTAAATACATATATTTTTGTTATTTATTTATTATAAGAATTAATTTAGATTATTATTATGAATGCAATGTACATATTCTTGCATGCGCCACTTATGATTCTTGCTAACGCAGTCATACAAAACAATCGGATGATCCTCGAAAATAAAAGCTTAACGACAGTTTGTCCAGGTTTAGCAGTTGGTCAATTAGCCCAGTTGTAGTCTTAGTTGCCGACCTGGTGTATTGCCGGTCCCGATGGTTCGTTTTCTGGCGCTGGAGCAGCACTGTTACTGGCGGGCGGTGGTACTGGAGGTGCGAACACATGGGCCATTTGCGGCGGCAACGGCGTTGGCTGCGTGGGAAACAATCCGCCCATCGAGGGCTGCACCTGTGGATACGACGGCACCGTCTGGGCGCCGGCCGGATAGGAGAGCACCGCCGGTGCGGACATGTAAGCCTGTTGCGGTGCAGAGAACATGGGCACAGCCGCTGGCGCTGCCGTGGCCTGGGGAAAAGGCAGCTGGGCGGCTGGAATGCCACCTAAAGTAGCTGTGTTCTGTTGTTGTGTACTTGGATCGTAAACGCCGGGTATAAAGATGTTAGCTGGCGGTGGCAAAGGTTGCGCTGGTGGCGGAACCTGAACTTGCGACACGTCAGCGACTGCAACTGCAGCTGCAGCTGGCGCTTGAGCTGGAGCTGCAGCTGGAACTTGAACTGGAGCGGGCTCGGCTATGTTAGCCTGCGTTTCCAGTGCAGCGGTGAGTGCATCGGTGGCCTCATCCGGATTAAAGTAGGTCTTGAACAGGCTCTGTGCCGGTGGCTCAATGGTGGGCGGAGGTCTGACCTCGGCGTTCGTCGATCCAAAGGTGTTGGCCAGCGGCGGTATGTAAGGCAATGTTGGTGAGACCACAGCGGATCCAGCTGTGGCTACAGGAGCACCGGCTGCAGATGCAGCTACTCCGGCGGTCAGCAACGGAGCCGAGGACTCCGCGGCGGCAGTGGGACTTGCGCTGCTGGCCACAGGATCGGCCTGGACTGGAATGCGGTGCAGATAGCCAAAGCCAATGCCACAACCTAAGGCTCCCTCGCCGCCCCAAGCGGTATTCGGTTTGATGGTGACCTCGCGACAGGCATCGTCATCGAGATTGTAGACGTACATCTTCAGCGGCTGCTGCTCGTGCGTTTCGATCAGGGTAAACAAATCGTCGTTCTCGTGACGTATGGCATCTGCCCCAATCACATAGTCACTGTAGGCCCGCAGACCAGCCAACTCGGCGGGCGAATTGGGATGCACCTCAAGGATGTGCCAGACGCTCTCGTTGGCGCCTTCGAAAGAGCAAAACCGGATGCTGACGCCCAGCAGTCCCTGGCCACCCCAGCTATTGCTGGGCGTCAGGGTCAGTTCGCGGACTGTCTGCGTTTTGCTGGAATACACGGTCAGCCGCACCGGCTTGTCCACGTTCTGGCGCAGCAGCTCCTTAAGCATATCGTTGTCCTGGTCCAGACGAGTCCCGGCAATTGCCACGATAAAGTCGAAAAAGGCCTCCAGCCCTGCCTTTTGACCAGGCGAATTATCTTGCACTTTTAGTACATGGTATCCTGCAAAAGATAAATTGTGGTTTATTTGGTATTCCAATGAAAGAAACATTTGATATTTGAGTTATTAAAATTGTAATTGTAAAATTATTGTGGTTGAAAACCAACTGCCTTAATATCTTAAAACAGGAAAACGTTTTTTACTTTTTAAAACAAATTAAATTAATTTGTTGTAACTACAACAACCAAGTTAAGATACTCTCATAAAATTAGGAAATGTCGAGATTTAGGGAACTGTTAATAATTAAGTTTTTGGGTTAAGTGATTATTGTGATTGTCACAAGTGCTGTGACATCATGTCACTCATATATTCATGATGAATTATATGAAATATATTTTTGAGCTGAAGAAATAACATCTTATAGTCGACTATACCTCATTGTAGAGGTCTTGATTCTGATTGGACAAGCGGCAGGTTTACGTTTACGTGGTCCGCAGAGAGAATAGGATGTTGGTGGGCCACTTACCTTCGGTGCCGCCACCGGGAACATGGATGCTGTGGCTCGAGCCCATGGTTTGCGAGTGTGTCAACCTCTATTCCAAATAACCGGACACTGACTTTCGCAGCGCCTAAAAGCCACCGATTTTTAATTGTGCCAACAAATAAGTTCTGTTCTTCGTGGCAATTCTCGTCGTAGATATTAGTGTGGCAGCAGTTTGACAGCGACAAGATGTCATGAAAAGTAAGCGGTTGTGCTAAAATTTACAGCTGATTCAAAATTTGTACTAAATATTAGGGAAATTCTGTTTTTAGTACCGAAAAACATATTTTTAACCGTTGCGATAAAAATACTCAATAATGAATGTATTGAATGTAATGATAAAAACAATAATCATTCTCAGATAAAATATTGATTATCGGGACATTTTTAAAGCGTTTTTATTCATTTTCAGATGAGGCGATCGATTTCAAATAATTTATAGGCATTACAAAAATAGAAGAATGATGTTATGAAAATCAGAAAAACTAGCTACGAGTGGTTTGCCACAAATCGAAACTACATTTTATTGATTTCAAAATGAAGCGGTTTTGCCGGTCGAGCCATCAAAGTCTTCCCAAATAAGTTATAAAATAATTGTGTCGCCAGGACTTTACTTCATTGCCGCCGCCACCTGCCATTGCTGTTGGTACTTGGCCACGGCTTCCCGATGTTTCACCATGTCCTTTTCCCTGTAAAAACAAAAAAAACGCCTAAATTATAGGCATCCAGATCCTGGTAATAGCTACTCACATGTTCTCCAGAGTGTCACTGGAACTCTTAAGCTCCTTGGAGATGTACTCGATGCGTTTGCCGACATTCTGTCGCGAATCCTCCAATTCCTGTTTGACCAAAACGGGACCAAAAAGCTTATACACTTTGTTGTCTGGGCCCAGTAGATTGAGTTCATCCAGGACGCACTTGTTTTCGTTCAATTGGCTCTCCAGCAAAGCCCTCTGTTCGACCATTTTAATGCAGGCTGGTCAAATTTATATATATTCCATATAAATTAAAATTAACAACCAGATGGTTCGGAAGATATTACTCACATTTTTTCAGGGTCTGGTATGCCTCAACCTCAGTCTGCATCTTTTTGTACAATGCTGCGCTGTTCTTGTCCATTTTCTCTGATTTAGATGCGGGTAGATCTGTTGAGGTTGGGCTTTAATTAAGCAGTTGTTTTACCAGTTGTTAAGAATTTTAACAAATAAAGTCGGCTAAATGCATGTGAGAATGGTGCAATGTGCCCGTTTTGGATTTTATAAAGTATACCACGGTGTCCGTGGTTGCCAGGGGGTTGTGTTTGATTGGCCTTTCAACGCTTTACCAAACAGCTGTCTGTACAGTTTTATAATTTAAAAAAAGTTAAATTATTATTGATCTAGTTTTTAGTTTTTGGTTTTTATAATTGATCTAGTTTAAAGCAGTTGTTATGAGGTGCAAACCTTAATCAGAGGAAAACAAATATTGATGCAGTGTTGAATAACGTCCAAGAAATGCATGCCGCCTGATAGATAGGAAAAACTATCTTAAGCATTGTTTGGAAACGAATAAAAGCGGTTAAAAATTGATTTACCCAAAAATAATCAAAATTATAAGTGAACGATTGCAAAAAGCGAACTAGATTAAGAACAAAAGCAATCAAGCAGTCATCATGCAGTCGTAGCGTTCGGAATACGCCTATAATAACGCTGAGACAAAAGCAAAAGATTTCGCGCCGAAAAGGAGGACGGCGAAAAAAACACTGAAAGCGTTGCGAAAAACTTACAGAAAACCGATTCTAAATGGACTCTGTTGCGGGGAAAATGTTCACAAATTAAAAGCAAGTGCGTGCGGTTGTAATTGTGATCCGTAGAGCCCGTACCGCCCCGCCGCCGCCACCGCCCCGCACCCTTGCCAACAACACACATACAAAACACAAACACACACACAATGGCACCAGCGAAAAAACGCGAGAAAGACAATAATGCAGATGGCGCGGCCACCAATGGCCTAAATCTAAACGGAATGGCCAACGGAGCACCGGATGCGGGAAATGGAGGCTCCACTGTATCGCCGGCAGCCGAGGTTCAGATCAAACTCAATGGCCACCAGCAGGAGCAGGAACTCTTTTTGCAGGCCTTCGAGAGTGAGTGAAAAACAAAACCATCGGATTAACCCGGTGTCCCAACTAAATCATCCAACAAATGTTTACCTTGCAGAGCCCACGCAGATATATCGCTACCTGCGAAACCGACACGAGACCAATGTAAGTTTGTATAAGGCCGGTGCCCCAGAAATACACAACAAATATCGATGGCCCAATAACCTTCTTTGTTTTGAGCTGATATTAAATCTTTGTGACCCTATTTATAACTCTAAAACTTGACCGAAGGGGTATCCTTTCCAAAGTCTTAGCAAATCTACATTAATAAGTTAATAACGAATCAATAGATAAAAGCATCAAACTATGAAACGCCTCTTAATAAGTAAACTTATCTCCCAAACAAAGCCTATCTTCCTGAACCGCACGCTCAGCTACATGAAGGAACGCATGTCAAGGAACAACAAAAAACGTACCGGCTTCCAGGTGAACTCCATCTTGGACAGCATTACCCAAAAGTCGGAGGCTGTGAGCCAAAACTACCTGCACATCATCTACGATTCGCTGCAAGAGAAGCTGCAGTCGACGGCAACGGGCAATGATTCGGGCGAGGATTTGCTGCAGGAACAGCTACTTTGCGAACCTGGTGAGTCGGTGAGCGTGGAGACGACGCTCTACAAGATCACACGCAGCAAGCGCAAGGACAGCACGCTGGACATTCAGGAGCTGCTCAGCAAGAGCTCACAGATCGTGTACAATCCAAAGGATCACGTGGTGGAGCACGCCACCATCAGCATTCCCCTGCAAACGATGCGGCCAATGGGTGAGCAGCATACGCTGTACAAGCTGCTCTTTCGCATCAAGGTGCTGGCGCCAAGCACATGCAACGATGAGAATGCAGGTGAGTGTTTCATAGCTTCCAATTTTACCACCAAAATCAAAGCTTTCTTATTTCTTGTCCTGCAGAAACTCCACCAAACAAGCGATCGCGTCGCAATGAAAAGATGTTTGGCTCGGAGCTGATACTGTACGAAAAGTCGAGCGGCTTTATCACCGAAGGCGAATACGAGGCCATGCTGCAGCCGCTGAACACCACCAGCATTAAGTCCTTCTCACCAAAGAAATGCACCTGGGAAACGATGCCCGATAGCTACATTCCACTGTCGTTAACCTACGATGTCTACCAGCAGAGTCCCATGCTCAAGTTCCATCTGACACTGTCCAATGAGCAGCTGCCCGAGATTATTAAGGCGCCGGAGCTGCAGCGATATGTCCAGCATCTGGATGCGGTGGCCGAGATGAATCACAATAACAATAATTACAGCAACAATAACAACTGCAGTGGCTTGAAGAACGGCAGCACCTTGTGCAAATCCACGCCGGAGCACATTCAGATCGTCTACAATTTTATGTACAGCAACAATACACGCCAGCAGACAGAGTACACGCAGGAGCTGAACTGCCCGTGGTGCGGATTGGACTGCCTGCGTCTGTATGCCTTGTTGAAGCACCTTAAACTCTGCCACGCGCGCTTCAACTTCACCTACCAGCCGGCTGGAAGTGGGGCGCGCATCGATGTCACCATAAATGATGCCTACGATGGATCGTATGCCGGATCGCCTTACGACCTGGCCGGACCGTCGGGCTCCTCGTTTGCCCGCACCTGCGGACCGGTGAGACGCACCTCGGTCACCAGCCTGATGGTCTGCCGGCCAAGACGCCAGAAGACCTGCCTGGACGAGTTCCTGGAACTGGACGAGGACGAGATCAGCAACCAGCGTTCGTACATCACGGGTCACAACCGGTGAGTCAGTGAATCTTTCTAAATCGACAAAGGAATCTAATGAATTTTAGGTGCCATATGAATTTATTTTAGCTTAGCAAACGAGTTTAAAGTAAGACCATAAGAAATCAATCCTTTATTAATCTCCACTTCATTTTTAAAACCAAAAACCTTTACAGACTTTACCACCACACGGAGACCTGCCTGCCAGTGCATCCAAAGGAGCTGGACATCGACTCCGAGGGCGAAAGCGATCCGCTGTGGCTGCGCCAGAAGACCATCCAGATGATCGACGAGTTCTCCGACGTGAACGAGGGCGAAAAGGAGCTGATGAAGCTGTGGAATTTGCACGTGATGCGTCACGGATTCGTGGGCGACTGCCAGCTGCCCATTGCCTGCGAAATGTTCCTCGAGGCCAAGGGCAACGAGATTGTGCGCAAGAATCTCTACCGCAACTTCATCCTGCACATGTGTTCGCTCTTCGATTACGGCCTGATTGCCGCGGAGACGGTCTACAAAACGGTGCAGAAGTTGCAGGGCATGCTGAGCAAATATACAGCCGGTCAGGAGCTGATGCAGCGGCAGCGCGAGGAGCAGCTCAAGTTCTGGCTAGAGGTGGGCATGCACAAGAAGGTGGAGGATCCGAAGACACTCAAGTCGCCGCAAAAGCCGGCACCGGCCGCAGACCAAGCATCTACCTCCTCGGCATCGAACTCGGGAAACGGAGCCTCCAGCAGTTCGATGCAGCCGCCAAAGCGGATGCCGGCCCATCTGAAGCGCGGCGGTGCAACATCGACCGCTGGCGGTCAGGGGAAGGCGAGCGAAAACGGCAGCAACAGTAGCAATGGCACGAGCAACAACAGCAAGAACGTGGCCAAGAAGAGTGCCGATCAGCCATTCAGCACCTTGGCGAACACTAGGGAGCGGCGATCGGATCCTGGCCAGAAGCGCAGTGTCAGCGGAACGCGACTCGCTGCAGCTTCCACCGCGAAGCGCAAGCTGAACGACAAAGGTGAGTGCCACATCAGCTTGCAGCATCAGAGACCAGCATTCCAGTCCCACATCCATCGTAGTCATTCGCTTGGACACATTGTCACCGCTTCGGTTTTCATGCTGTAATCTGAGCGGGAAAATATTATTCTGTTTGTGGAGAAGACCGCTTTTCATTGAGTAAATGGGAGGCTTAAGGAATTCACTTACAGAAAAACAATAACATTTTTGCCACTTAAAGTTTTCTTTCGATTTATAAGCTAGTATACATACATAAATCAGTTTGTTTACCTTACATCGTTTTTTCTCCTATAATTTATACAAATAACTATTTAAAGAGGCTTAAGTTGTGTCTAATTACAAAGTTTAATTAACTCTAATATTATTATTTCCTTTTAAAATAATACTTCATTGACCTATTAAGCATATATCAACTGTAGAACCGCGGTAAAGCGCACATCTGTATTTAGATGCACTTGAACTAATCCCTAACCACATGCCAACAGGGAGAGAAATTGGTACATATATCATAAGCATCATAAGTGCATCAAAACCACCTATGCATCAAAACCATCGTCATGAGTTCACAATGAAAGCCCCACCGATCGAAATCAAATCAAAATTTCAATCAAAATTGATCCGTTTGGACCGTTTGTTTTATCTTTTGTACGTTTCCTTTTTTTTCTTTGGACCTTAACCGAAATTCCTCCTCTAAATGTGAACGCGCGGTCGTTGGCAGATGTGGAGCAGGCGGCGGATGAATTGCCGGAAGTGTTGGCCCACAGCGATAATGCTGTCGATGTTGGTATTATTGATGATGATGAATGTAGTGAATTTAGAGCCGTGACTGTTAATGGCATTGCGAACCCAGTTGACGACAACTGTGTGGGCAATTAATTAAATAGTAACTTGAATTGCAACACTATTTTCGATCCAAGCTAATTGCATTTGTTTTGAAACCCCGTACAGATAATGCAGCGCTGAACAAGCGACAGCGCTACAGCGACGGAAGTGCCGGGTCAGGAAACGGAAGTGGAGCAGCCAGCCGCAACAGAAGCAATAACCATTCACTGCCAGCAACCAGTAACAATAACAACAACAGTAGCAGCAGCAGCAGCAACAGCAAACGAACAATCGCCCGACGTCGATCCAGTTCGGAAAGGACCAAGGCGAGCGGATCGGCGGGAGGCGTTCGCACCAGGCTATCGGTGCCGTCGAAATACGAGAGGCGCTGACGCAGGCGCCGCCGCTGCTGCTGCTGCTGCTCCACCTCCTCCTCGTCCTCATTGATCGCCTCCCGTTGATTCACATCCATCGCAGAGCTTAGTTTGCTTAATTTTTAGTCGCCAACCTTTTTGAACGCGATGCCAAGCCAGGCACTTATTATAAACCATTATCTTTATTGCTATGTTTCTATTATGTTGTGTTGTATTTAGTTTTTGATTTATAATGTTGGACATTTGTAAAAACAAATACCTTGTCGGATTTCGCATTGACCTCAAAATTGTTTACGTGGTTCGTTGCTTTTAACGCCGACTCTTTTAAGCCTTCACTTCAGTTGTACGCCAAAATCGAAACCTAAAATCAAATATATTTAACTCTAATTTGCCAGTTACTTAACAATACAGAAGATACAGGGGCATTTTAAACGCAAAAATTCAAAACTAATTTGAATTATTTTGAATATACTTCAGATCTTGTTCAGCTCATGTAAATTCACCTTTTGTGGCAAAGAAATGAGACAAATTTATCATATGTAATTAGGGCAGAGTGTATACAAATATATATTTACAGCAATAAGCAAATCTATTTTTAAAGCTAAATGCGTACTTGACAAGCAAAACATAATTCCAAAATCACAGAAAAAACAAACACAAATTATCACTAGCGCCTACACTTACAATTAAACATACGTGCATAAATAAAACTTCACTTGAAATACACTCACACGAAAAAGGATACTGCTAAAAGCCACTGAATAAAGTATACATTTATATTTTTACAGTGCATTAATGTGATCTTAAATGTGTTTTACAGGATCTATCTTTCCAGGGTTAATTAAAAATATTTGGGAGAACAGTGTATAATTATATTTTAATATACCTAAAATTCATATTCCTTAACTTTCAATTGCCTTCATTTAGATTTCGTATATAAAATCTCTTCAAATTTCTGAACTCTTCACCCACAAAACACTTTTTCAAAAAGTATAAATACATTGTTTTTATTTTTTATAAGTAGATATATTTTGTATTAATGACATTTGAATCAACTGCCAATGAGGGGAACAAATAGTTATTGGGAGTTAGTTGCTGATTTTCAATTTATCGCATGACCTTAAACGTTAGATGTTTGAATGCACTGTCTATTTAACAAAGTTGGGGTTCTTCTTCAATATGACGAATCCCTCCATGACCGGAGTGAGGGCCAGATACTCATCGGTAGCCAGTTCGGCACGCTCGCCGATGGCCAGCAGGACGGGCGTGGTGTGGGTTTGGAAACCGGTGATCGTCTTCGGTTTGCCGGCCTGTCCCACCACATCGATGGCGATACCGACGCGGACGGGCACCTGCAGCTGGTTGAGCTCCTCGTCGAAGGTGATCAGCATGCGGGCCTGCATGGCGGGCACCAGAGTGTAGAGCAGATAGTGCGACCTGTTCAGGATCAGGTTCTTGACGTCCAGCAGGGAAACCAGCGTGGCCATCAGACCAGCCACGGCCATGGGGTTCATCAGCTGGCGATCGCTGTGATACGGACTCAGCGACAGCGTTCCCTTGCCCAAGTGAGTCAGACTCTGGGCAATGCGCACCATGAACAGATTGCTGGGATCCTTCGAGTGGTACTGCGCCAACTGGCGCAACATGGAGGCCAGACGGGCGTTATTCGTGCCGGCGCCCACCAAACCCATGGCAAAGATCGCATTGTGGGCCACCTCGGCATCGCTGTCGTGCGAGAACTTGCTCAGTGTGTCGATGATGTTTAGCTTGGGATTGGAGGCGGATATCAGGCCCAAGGCCAGGGGCACCGCACGTCGGATGGCCGGTTCGCAGTAGCGCAGCAGGTTTCCAAAGGAGCGGTACGCCATTTCGGCGCCAATGTCCTCGCCCATGGCGATCAGAGCAATACCCAGCACGGCAATCGATTGGGTGGCCGACAAGTCCTTCTCACGCTCCTTTTCCTTTTCCTTTTCCTTGTCCTGCACAAACGAAAATGTTAATGAAAAAGCTATTTAAGCTAACTATTATTAAATAAAATATTACCTTATCCTTGCCCTTGTCCTTCTTGTTCTTCTCCTTCTCGTCATCGGCATTGGTGGTCTCGTAGTGATCGGAGCAGATGTGGAGCAGCTGCTGGATCTTGAGCACATTGCCAGTGCCGGCGTATGCGCAAATGTCCACCATAGTGGTAGCCATGCTGCGGTGCGGCTCCTCCAGCACCTCCAGCGTCATCATAACGGCCTCAGTGGACTTCTGGCGTCCCAAGTAGAGCAGACCGAGGCCCAAGAAGAGGAACCTGGTGTAGGTGTCCTTCAGATCCGACTTGGTCAGGCCCATGATCGTCTGCAGCAGGATTTCGGTGATCTCAGCGTTGCATGAACCAACACTAATGAGACCCAGGGAAAGGGCCGTGATGCCCAATATCTCCACACTGGCGGAACTCTTGTTGTTGCTGCCAAACGAGAAGACCGTCTTCAGGGTGTCGATCACAATGGAGCGATTGGAGCCAGCGTAGGCGATGCCCAACCCCAGAATAGCGCCAACGCGCATGCACGAGTTCTGGTTGTCGATATAATCGGACAGCAGGGCATGAGCCGGATCGACCTCATTACGAATTCCGCAGTTGACGATTCCACAGGCGAGCAGAGCGCCAGATTTGATATTGTCGTCGGTGGAGTACAGATACTTGTCGATCATGGTCAGACCGCCATCCACATCCCACAGAAGGATCAAACCCAAAGAGGCGGTGGCCGAGAGCATACCGTGCTCCTTGTTCTTGTACAGCCACTTGTTGCCATCCTCCGACAGCAACTTGTCGACACCGAAGCCGGCATTGACGAAGCCATTCACAAAGCTGGCGGCCAGATTCTGCTTGGCAGAGTCCACTTGGATCGATGCGAAACGCGAACGCGAGTTGTCCAGATGCGACTTGTAAATATCCTCCGGGGTCTTGGGCTCCATGATGTCCAGCTCGCGAGCCAGATTAAGGAAGTGCTTGTTTAAGTTCGCATTGGACATAATCTCCATGAGATCATCGTAGTCCGGCACAGACTCATCCAGCTCGAGGCAAATCTGCTGGCGGGCCAGCATGAATGCCAACTGCTTCTGCATGGCTGGCTCCTTCGGCTCCTTGAAGATCTCCCCGATCTTGTCCATGTCGTTTAGCATCAGAGCCAATCGCATGGCCTGTGTGTGCTGGTTGAATTTGCGAGACAGCTGGAGGGCAGTCTCCAAGATAATCGTGTTGTCCGGTTCGGGAACGTAGGGATAGCAGGACTGCAGGTAGAGGCAGACTCGCGGATAGGCCGACTCGTCGACATAGTCGCCCAGCAGGTGCAGATGATCGATTTCGATCAAAAGATCACAGGCATCCGCCTCGGCGTTATGCTCCATGTTGTAGGGAATGATCTGCTTGACCAGTTCGATGAGCTGCACCCGAAAGTCGCCCGTGGTGTCGTGATAATGGGCAGAAATCTCGCCCGACAGATGACGCACATACTCGTGGCCCCAGTCCCCAATGCGCTGCTTGCGATCGCAGAGGAACCGATAGGCGAGGCAATCCTTACCACTGCCCATGGTCATCGAGAGCACCGAGATGATGTCGGCGCACAACTGGCGCGCACGCTCGTCTGGCATGTGCTTGTACACCGTCTTCATAGTGTCGTAGTGTGGACGCATAAACTTCAGCGGTTTGGGCACCGAGGTCATCGACGTGGTCGAGGCCCGTATCAACTTGGCCATCGTCTCGAGCGTGTGCTGGTAGAGCTTTGTATCCGGCTCCTGCAGTACCTGCACCAACATCTCCAGCTCCTCCTGCAGCTGCTGATCCTCGTCGGAAAGCTCCGGCTGCTCTACCTTGTCCTTGGCGTCCTTCTTTTCATCTTTCTTGGCCTTCGCATCCTTGGCATCGCCGCCCGTTGGCGCCGGCTGCGCCAGCTTCTTCTCCTGCTTGGTTTCGCCCGTCATTTTTCTAGGTTGCTATCTTGCGATGCCTACTTTTCCCCACTAGAAAATATATACCTAATTCTCGGATTAGTTTTAAACTGTAATGCGGCGTTCGCTTTTGTTCCTTTTTTTTTCGTTGTTGAAACAGCAGAATTACACAGCGCTTTTTTCAGGTGTGACCGAGTGGCGAACGCCAGGATATGCTGCGTTAGTCAGCGAAAATAAATAAATTGTCAAGCTGGTCACACTGTGGTAGATATGGCAGCCGTTTGCGATATTTTTGGATATTGTTGCCGATACTTGTAGCTCATAGAAAGGTATATATTTTTTTTGTGACAGGTAAAGGAAACCTGTATGACTGAATACTGTTAAAAAATGTTATTTGAATTGCCTTACATTTTTCAATTTTCAATATAATAAGCAAATTTAAAATATGTTCTTTCTTTTCTTTGGTGCTCAAGCAATCCAAATATTACAATCCGCAAGGTTATAAGTACGTGAGACTTTTTCGGGTTGGTATTTTTAATTCTTAATTCCAGGCAATTTTAAATAGCGAATAAATATAAACAACAAAATAAAGATTTTATATATATATTTTTTTCCCGATAACAAAATCGATAATTTTTGTATGTAAAAATACAACCATGCCTCACATTTGAAAATACCAGATTAAAGGGCATGTTGTTTTGCCCACATGTGAATTCAGTTTATTTTGTTTAAATTTAAAGCATTGTAAAGCTAATAACATGTTGAGGGTAACCCAGACCAAAAACAGCCTGCTCGATGGAGCCACCATAGCGGAGGAGCTCTATACAAGTCCAAAGGAAGGCGAGGATTTCTTTGAAAGTCTGGAGAAGCCGGCAAAGGAACCCACAAAACTTGAGCCCAGGAACACCTGTTGGTTTTATAATTTCCTAATGGTGCCAATTGTTGTAATGTAAAACCCCCTATTCCAGTCATTCGGCCGGGAGTTTTAACCACTGTGAGAGGTTCCGCATACATGGAGTATGGAAACACCAAGGTACTAGCCATTGTGGCCCCGCCAAAAGAGCTAATCCGCGCCAGCGCTCGCCGGATGAACATGGGCGTGCTCAACTGCTATGTGAATTTTGCGGCCTTCGCCACCGGGGATCTGGAATCAGTGCCAGAACGGGAACGCCACCTGAGCAGCATGTTGACCAAGGCCATGGAGCCGGTTGTTTGCCGAACGGAGTTCCTCAACTTCCAACTGGACATTCGGGTGCTTATTCTCGACGACGATGGCTGCTTGCTCAGCACGGCCATCAACTGCTGTGGTGTTGCTCTGGTGGAGTGCGGAATTTCCACCTACGATTTGATTACGGCCTCCACGGCTTGTATCTTTCGGGAACACGTTTTTCTCAATCCCAGCGCAAAGGTGGAAGAACTGCTGTGGAAGCATCGCGGCAGCAGCGGCACCAGTAGCAAATCCGAAACCTCCTCGTCTATCGAAGAACACGGTCTGATCATCACCGCGAGCATGGACACCTTTGAACAGATTGCCCAGTGCCAACAGTGCGGATATCTAAGTCCTGCTACATATGTCAAATTGCTGGACTACACGCTGGCCATCAACAAGTCGCTGCGGCAGCTGGTCAAAAGTGTCCTCAACAAGCGGGTTAAGGAGCAACACGAACTGGATCTGCGAGAGAAGGCCGAAAGCGCACTGGAGGATCAACGGTTGGCGGAAATTATCGAAAGACTAAAATCGCAGGGAGTGGATGAGTTTATACAGTCAAACATCAAGGAAGATCCTTATGTTAAAAGGCAATAGTCAATAAAATGTAGATTATGTTTAAACATATTATTTTTGTGCGCAATTCTTTTTGTTAGACTAATTGCTAAAAAAGTTCAAAAACTTTTTAATTAGATCAATGCCTAGCTAGAAATAAGTACAATTCTTTTGAGTCCTGACAAAACTTTTATTTATATTTTTGCACTTCCAAAGGTTCATAAAGTTCCGAGAAAGATAACATTACAAATGCGTAGCGCTTCAAAACATCAATTCAGACTTGTATCCTTTCGAAAGTGAATTTTTAGTACATAGTGTATTTTTAGTAATTGCTAAAATGCTTCCCTCTCGCTGCGCCAACGATCTTCTACTGCTGATCCGTGGAGGCCTCGAGCACGGCTCCTGAGTAGGCGAGATCCCAGTAGTGCTCCACCTGATGCTTTTGGAAAAATTCGCGGGCCATCTTCTCCATGGGAAAGATCTTGAACTTAATTTCGCCAAAATGCCGTCGTTGACTAGTTCCCTCCCAGACGAGCACACACGAATTGGGCACGTCCTGGCCGTCATTGCCCTTGGCTATGTCCTCCTCCCATTTGATACGGGTCAGCATCAGGCGGCGATACTTCTTCTGCTGCTTGGGACCGCCCTCGACGACGACAACACAGCAATCGCGGAACAGCACCACGGTGCCGGTCATCTGCAGTTGCTTGGCATTCGTCTCCACCTTGAACTTCTTGCTCTGGTTGTCCTGCAGATCGCGTATGCGATACACGCTCACATGCACCCCGCAACTGGTGTCCTCCCTCAGCTTGCGCTGCTTCTTCTCGCTCTTCTGCTCGCTGGTCAGCTTGCGGGCATTGTTCGCATCCTCGTGCGCCTTCTGCCGCTTTGCCATCTGCTCGCGCACATGCTGCTCCATTTTAGTGGGGTCCTGCACGGCCTCGGAGCCCAAAACGCGCATTAGATTGGAGATGCGTAGCTTGGGCTCCGGTGGGGCAACCAAGCCGAGGCGAATCTTTTCCTGCTCCTCCTTCCAGGCCTCGCGACGATTCTGGCGCCGCAGCTTCTTGCGTTCCTTTTTGGTGAGGAATACGGGCAAATAGACCGGTTTCATGGGCTCATCTAAACAAGAGTTAGAAATGAGTATATATTGAATGGTTATGCACACTTATTTACTCACTTGGCGGCTTCATTTGTGTGGGATGCTCTATGAGGTTGCTAATGGCCGACTGGCGTATGCTTATCTTACCACTCGCCTCGTCCAACGTATCCAGATCCTGGGTGAGAATGACTGAGTCCCACCACTCCATGGCGGGCACATCGTCGGGCATGTCCTGCTTGGGAGCAATCAGCGCCAGTTTGGTAGCGGACGAAATGCCCGTCTTGCGGGCTATTTGGGAAATCTCATTCTGCAGCCGCTCCAGCTGACTCTTCATGCGCATCCGTTCGGCCAGCTGCTGGAATTTTCCTGGCTCGTGAAAACGCAGCGTCCTCTTGTTCCTCACCGTCGGCTTTTGGGCTATGCGATCGTCAAAGTACTTGATGGCCTCATCTTGGGCCGATGTGGCAGATTCACTCCGCTCACCTAAGCCCGTCTGGCGCTGGAATACTTCCCGCTTTTTGGCTCGTATATTGGCTTTGAGAGTGGGCGTCACAGTGGGTATATTTATGGCTCGGCCGCTCTTGTCCACGGTGCGCCCCTCATCGTCCAGAATCAAAGGTTTCGGTCGCTCCTGCGCCTGGGCAGCAGCTGCGGCGGCGGCTGCCACGGCTGTGGGTTGAATCAGACTGGCCAAATTTCCGGTGAGCTTGGCCCGAATTTGTGCCTGCAGCTCGGCTATCTTCCTTGCTTTCTCCGAGTCCTCAGGCGTGGGTTTCTTCGATAGCGCCTGAGTGGCCAGGGCCACGGGCATTCCAATTGAGGGTACCGACGCCAGCAGGGGATCCTTGTCACGCAGATTACTCAACGCCCGCTTGCGCTCCTCGATCTCCCGCTGGGCATGGGCCATCATTAGCTTGATCTGCGTGGAACTCAGCGAGGCCGTGGCGGCCGCTTCCTCTTTTTGGTCACTTTTGCCATTCTTTTCCAGGACATCGAAGCGGGATTTCTTGGGTGCTTCGATGGCGCCGGATTCTGTGGCGGCAGCGCGCTTTTTGGACAACTTCTGCTCGTCGACGTCGCCATCCTTGCGCGTTATAATGGACGACATAATTCGCAATTAAATGGGTCGGACTAAAAAGTAAAGGTTATTTACCAACAGCTTGGCACATTCCTCGAGCGTTTAAATCGTCGATTTGCAAATGAAAAAACAGCACACAAGGTTTTTACTGAAAAATTCTTCGACAGGGTGGTTAAAAAAGAAATCAAACAGGGTTGCCTACGGCACACACATACACACTTTTCCGACCAGTGTGGCCGTTTGTCATCGTTTAATCGATTTGCAGCTCTGATTCTCTCACCTTTTTTGTCGCTCTCCGCTCCGCCATATTTGTTGAAGCCGCTTACTACCGTCTATTTTTTTCTCGTCGTGTCTGTGTGTGCTTAATTATTTGTTGTGGAAATTAAGCCAATTTCGTGTGCTTAAAAAGCGTAAAAGTTGCATTCGACTGCTAGCATGGCATCGGAGGAAGAGAATGACGATAATTTCCAGGGTGAGTACATTGTTTTAGACGGCCAAAAGTCGGCGTGAAAAAATTCGCTCGGTCAACCGAGAGCCGTGGTCATGTTCAAGAGCCGAAATGCCGCGCAGCGTGCTATGTCCCTCTCCAATTGTTTATTGTTTGGTCAACAGCGCCAATTGGCGTTTGACATTGTTGTAAGCGTAAGAAAATCATAATAATTTCGTTTGTTGGTGAAATTTTATACATGTGTGGCGCGTTTTTTTCAGGCTTTTGTGCGTCTTTCATTCCACACACATTTATTATTGCATTTTTGTGTTCTCCTGATTCGCAAATGCAGGCCCTATAGCTGTCCCGCTCGCACAGCAAAACATCTGTTTTACGCGGTTGTTTTGATCGGCAAACAAAAGCGTAAATCTTAGAAAAAATGATAGATTTTTAGCTAATTTTAAGTTTTTAGCAATTAAGTATTGTATTTAATCCGTAAAGTGTTAAGTGTCAATTAGAAACCAAGAAAATCTAGGTGTTTTAATTTTTTCTCTTGGTGTGACCGTATATACGGTGTGACCATTTGTTGTGAAACGGTATCTCCAGATAAATAGTGTGCCCGTGTTGGGGCTCATCGCAAATCCGCAGACGGCCTTGTCTGCCACCATTTACATTCATTGTTGCTTGGACGTGGCAGCCATGACGTGATTTCTGAGTTTTTGTTAAACAGATTACACTATTAATTGTAGCGAAAACTGTTAATTAAGGGGAATACGTGCATTACTCGTCACCGCCTATCGATTGCCAGTGTTAATCCAGAAATCCAGTGCGTAATATATCCAACCTACAACATAAAAGAAAGAAAAAAGAAAAGTGTGTGCAAAAAATAAAAACCTGAAATTACCACAATATATACGTATATTGTGTAAGAAAGCAAAGCGAAAAGAAAACGAAGCAATAATGTGCATATGCAGAGAAACGAAACAAAGATGCGTGGAATATTGTGGAAAATCTTGTCGCACTTCCACTGACGCACATACAAATGTGATTTTTTTTTTCACTCCCCCCTTCGCCGACGGGCTCTCTTGATTGATTTCTCCACTCTCTCGCGTCTCTGTATGTCTGCGTGTTATGCACGCGCGCTCCAGCAAAACGTCGCCGTCGCCCCGTCTCAGTCGCTCCAACCGAAAAAACCCCAAAATCCCCGACGCGTTTTAATTAAATTTAGTAAAAGAAAAAAAAATAGTAACCAGAATACAATCATACAAAGTGCCTGCAAAACAACCAAAGAATAATCGAAAAATAGCATTTTTAACGAGTTAACCAAAATATGCCAACACACAAGTAAGAAGAAGAAGAGAAGAGTAGAGTGTGGAAAGAGAGGGTGACAGTGGAAGGGTGCCTGTCTACGGCAAGGAAATTGCTGGAATGTAGTAGTTTGTACGAAAACCGATAAACAATATGCCGCCACCGTGTAACAAAAAAGAAGAAAACGGCATTATCCACCCCAATTTCGCATACAATTTATGTTAATTTGTTCGCAGCTGTTCCTCTTCTGTCTACGCTCTTCTGTCCCTGCCCCCATTTTCGCCTCTCTTTTTTTCCGTTTGACGCTGTTGCACTGTGGGCGTGTATGTATATATATGAATACGATGTGTGTGCGTGTGGAAGTTATCCTAGAGAATAAGCGTGGGAGCAACTTTCAGTGTCTAATTTTAGCACTTGTCTCCCCCTCTTATCATTCTAATTGGATTTATGGCTCGTCGCCGTTATCCTTCGATATATCGATAGGATGCTGATATGCTCTTTTCTTGTGACGTCAGCATAAGTTTGTTCTTACCCATTTCTCTTTGTTTCACCATTTGCCGGTTCTGCGATCACTTTTCTATGAGTTACACATGTGTTGAGCATTTGATGAAAGTGTTTATTTTAACACCCCACACCAATTTACGGTTATTCTACTACAAATAAACAATCGCGATTAATGCGACATTGCATAAATTGCATGAGCCCCAAAAGAGGGTGTTAAGGGGGGGCTGTATATGAGTGCCACTATTTATGCAGTAATGCAACAATTAAAGGGTGTGAGAGGGAAAAGGCATTCGCAATGACGTATGTATTTTGCCTACGTGTGTACACACAAAGAAAATTCGGTGTGATATTGATTATGAAGTTAATGACTTCAATAACTTAAACTAAATAATGCCAAATTTGTATTTGTCAATATATAAAATTGGTTTTTGATTATAAAACCTTTGAAAAGATCTAGTTCTTGGAAATGAAATTTCTTTAAGTTTTCCTTGTTTAACTTATTTTAAAAGCTTCTGTTGCTAACTGCATAAATCTGCCTTAAAACAGTCCATATCTAAAACAACAACAACGTGGCGCCATTACAAAAAATCAAAAATTCAATACAAGAAGTGAAAGTATATTGTGTGTGTGTGAGCTGCATTTGGCGTTGTATTTGTGGCGATCTTACCTTGCTTTGGCGAACTACAACATGCCATCCCACTCGCACGCACTGCATTTAATCAAGCCAACAACAAGTGGTGCTTTTTTATATCCGCCATGTATATATCTATATGTATATATATTTATAGTGTGTGTGCTGGCATTTCGAAAAGTTTACACTTGCGCTTAAAATCCTCAAAACTATGAAACACAAATAGGAAAAGTAAATATTATCTTAGCTTTCAATACGTTCCGTTTTGTTCAAAAATCGTTCTCTCAAATAGAACAAACACTAGGTCGATTGTGGTTTTTGTTGTTCTTTTCGATTTTGACATTTGACGCGTATCTCTCGCTCTGTCTTTGTCTATCTATATCTCTCTTGCTCTTTGATGGAAGCGTGTGTGTCGCTCTTCCACAGTTTTTTTTGTTGCTTTCAGTTGGAGTACACTAACACACGAAATCGGCAGCATTTGACATTGATTACCGTAATACCTTTTGGCATCGTGTGGTTGTCGTCCGTGTGGTTTTTAATATTTGTGCAACTGCTGGTTGTCTTGTTATTTTACCTATTTACAGTAATTGTCTTGTTGTCGCTCGGAGAGAAGGCCGCGATTCAGTTGTTGTGCTGCCACTGCTATTTGTTTCAGATTATTCGTTCACATGCAAACACACAGTGACAAAACTCGAGCAGCAATTGACATTTTTTCTTTTTTGGAAGTCACCGCCACCGCAAACAAATACACTCATGCACCAGATTGTGTACGAGTTAATTTATTTATAATCATTCAGTGTACTTGTATGGGAATGTGAAAATTAATCGAAGCTTATCAATTGTTGAAATGATCAGTTTTATCGATGTTTTCGTTTTGTATGTGGGAGTGTTAGGGTTGTCATGCCTTCAGAAAAAAATCGATCGTTTATTATTTTTCCTGACACAAACTTGAAAGCATTGAAATGCAAATGGTATTTTATCAAGCATAATAGTTTTATTTGGAGTTTTACAATTTGATTAAAATAGTTGTAGGCCTACACAATTAATTAATTTATTAGTCACATCATCCTCTTTTAAATGCATAGCATCAGATATCATTGTAAGTTTGTACTTTTTAAAAATATCTTTGATAATCCAACTTTTTGGTAGGCCCGTCTGCATTTCAATGGTTTTCAGCACGGGAGGTGAAAGTGAAGGTCATTAATATTTGCATATGGAAATGTTTACGCAGCGAAAATGCCGAAACATAAATGGTCATATGGCAAATGCCGTTTCATTTCGTATTTGTCTCGTTTCTCGCTTTGCCATCCGTCGGTCGCCATTGTGGTTTCCGTTTCTGTTTCTCTTTTGCTCTCTCGTTTCTCTTTGGGTTTGACACAAAAAAAAACCGAGTTGTTTTTTGTTTTTAATAGCCTTAACTTAATTGGTTCAATAGTTTTGTAATTGTTATCGGGTTCCGCTTGCGGCCTACAGCAGAGCCAAGTTTGTGCTTCGATTGTCACCGAAAATAGGTTTACGGTAACAATTATGTTTTCTGGGTGTGTAAACAAACAACAGCACGCGAATCTATTTGTGTCATTTCCATGCCAAAACATGCGTATTTGTGTCAGCGGATTTGTATTGTTCCTTTATAGTTTTCTTAGCGAATGTTATCGAAATCATGGCTTGGGTCGGTTCTTTTTGCGCTTCACTGTTGTCTAATTAGCCAATTAGTAACTCGCTAAGCCAAAGCGACAGCTTATAAGCTGAGCATTGCCAACAAGGTGAATAATTGTTGCCAACGCCATTGCCATCGCCCACTGTTTGGTAATTTGTGTGTATGTGTCTTAACAGCAAAGGTTACATTTTTAGAATACAACTTACAGACTTTTATTATCAGCAAAATTTGAAGAAAATTTAATTTTAAATATTACTTATGTTATGAATGGGGTGACTCACGGGTTTAACATTAAAAATGTTTCTTATCGAAAATATATTTGCAATGACCTGAACTATGACTAATTAAAGGAAACCACTAAATACAGTGAATCAAACTTTGTCGTCTTTACTCAATATTTAGTTTAAAATTTAAAAAAAAAAAAAAAAAATTAAAAATTTACAATAAATTCATTTTTATGTCATATGTATATAAAGCTTTGAATATAACGCATTTCCTAATTTTTTGTGACTTTAAGCCTGGCTTATAAAATGTTTTCTTTTAACAGTAGAATATTGGAAATACTTTCCTAACCGCACCTGTATAGGCATTTGTGATTATTGTAATCTGTCGTTAACTTTGGCATAGTTTCGTTCATACAGCTAAGAAACCAGAAAATGAAACCCGAAAAACCGACATTAAAATTACCAACCAACCCAAGAGACAAAAACAAAAGTAGTTGACAGCAAGCCCTCGTTTTCGTTGTTATAGTTGTTGCCACCCGACTTGTTACATATTGCTTCAACAGTGGTAGTTGTTGTTGTTGGTTGTTTCACTTGTTTTTGTTGTTGTTGCTCTCGCTTTTGCGGCAGTAGCTATAAGTATGTAGTTGTTGCTTGCGGTCGGTTTAGTCATACTCACGCTCGCCTATAATGTTTATATAATTTTTCGTATCTTTTATTTTTCACATGCATACCGCACAAGTTTTTTTATGGCTCGTTTGTGGGTTGGGTTTTGGGTTTTGTGCACTCAACTCTACAAAAGCGCAGCTCGAGTGCTGACTTTGTTGTTTTATTTTTCCAACTCGCTCTTTCGTTTCGATGGCTCACAAATAGTACTTGATAAGAAAACCAACCGCAACATAAATCGAGGACTGAGCGATGGACTTCACAAAAAAAATTAATGGAAAATATCGAATATCAATTAATTGTTTATACAAAAGTTCAAATGCGGGTGCATTTATAACTCTTCTTTTAAACAAATCATAGTAAATAAATATGTTTATTTATATATAATTTTTTAAAATATGTAACATAATTTATAAAAAAAATTATTTAGTTCTAAAAAAAATTTCATATTTCTTTTTGGAATCCAACCAGGGTTAAATGGCTTTATGTGAAGCTCCGGTTTCTACAAGCCTCTTGTCCCCTAAGCCTACTTCTATTCTATTTATATTCAATGCCAGTTCTAGGCTTATTTTCTTGGGAACCTACTGCTCTGATTCGGCTTAATATTCGGCTTGGCAAAATGGCAACAGAGACCGGAAACTCCGACGTATAGACAAGGCAAGGTGATGGCCAAAGCCGACGCTTCCAAAGCAACTTTTTGTGCTTTGCGTGTGTGTATGACACACAATAGGCTATCGTAGAAATAGAAGTGGAGTATTCTGCGGAAGTTCAATTAGCAACCCACTAATTGGGTGGAAAGAGAGAAAGGAAGCGAAAGCAAGCTGCCACAAGTGCTAATTTGTACAGATTTTTGAAGCTATAATTTAGCTGCATTTGCATTTAACCAGTTGTTAACTGGAATTATTTTTCGTAAATCTTATTACACCCAACAGAAGATCGTGTGAAGTGCGTGTGTGTACTTAAAACTGATCTCGACATTAAAAATGATCATACATTGCCATCCGAAGTTAAATTGGTCGAAACTCTAATACAACCAATAAAGCAGCAGTAAAAATGGTTTAATGAAATATTAAAAAGTTGATTGTACGCTCAATTTGACTGACCTTCAGTAATTTTTAAAGATATAGCCTCAGATACATTTAAAATTGTGTCCGTCCGTTGTCCGTTGTCCGTGTGCCGTGTATGTTTGTTTGTACGCATATAAAGTATAGTATATACAAAATGTATATTCATTTTTTATAATGAAAGACAGCGCGGCTGCAACAACAGCAAATACAAATACAAATACAACAAATACAACAGATTCATAACAAGCCAGAGAGGGAAATACCAGTCAGCAATCGCGACTCGCTCCGTT